TAGTGCAGCCTGCTTTGTAACTGAGGTGCTCGTTAGCCCTCATTAACACACCAGCCTTCTGTTAGCACCAGCTGAGGTCCAGCCACCACCAGGTGGTGGGGATGTTGGGGATGTTAGCCTGGGTTTATTTTGCTGCCCCGGGGCAGGGTCTGGGCTCCGGCTGAAGGATGGGGGGGACTAGGGGACTGTTCCCCGGCACGTGCTGATGGATGCTCTGCCTCCGCAGGCTCCTCTCTCGGCTGCTTCCACTGGTCGCAGGGGGTGAAGCTGCGGGCCAGCGTGCGGCTGCTGCTGGAGTGGCTGCGTGGCGCCGGCTTCGAGCAGCTGGCCCAGCAGTTCTTCGCCAAACTCGCCAGCGTGGCCAACCTGCTGGCCATGCCCGGCTCCCAGCTGGTCCAGGTGAGGAGTGCTGGGGGCTCGCAGCGTCGGGATGGGCACGGGCAGGAGAGACCCCACTCGGCGTTTGGGGGTCCCTGCAGCGATGTGGCACTTCAACCTGGCAGAGGGTGGTGGGTCAGTGGGTGGGCAGTACTGGGGGGATGCTCAGGCTCATTCCATCTCTCCAACCTCTCCCTCCCATCCCCCTCGGGAGCTCCTGCCCCTCGGAGAAGGCAGCTCCTCACCTCTGCGGTTCACCCCCCGCTCTGTCTCCTCGCTCAGATGACCTGGCCGTCCCTGCGAGCCGAGTTCCCGGCGCTGAGCCCCGCACAGCTCCACCGGGTGCTGAGCCAGTGCCAGGCGGTGATGGACATGGGCTGCATCGCGGCGTGGCAGCCCGGCGAGGAGGACAGCCCGGCCACCTTCCAGCCCGGTAAGCCCCTGGCCTCGCGCTCGGCGCTGCTCCGGTCACCGTGCTTCAGTCACCCCCGGGCTCCCTCCGAGGTTTTTATGGACGAACCAGACAGGCGATTCCCATCCCCTCCCTGGGGCTGCTGTAGTAACTGCGGCAGTCAGGAATGACCACAGCCCCGCGACTGGGGTATTGCAGAGGACGCAAAGTGTGGTCAGAAGGGCTTGTGGCCCTTTCTGCGTTCCCAAGGGAGGGATGCTGCTCCCCGATCCTGGCTGGGAGACAGCATGTGGCCGAGGGCCGGGAGCAGGAGCGGAATGCAGCCCGGGCCAGCGCTAGCCTCACTCCTTCCCTCCCTCTGCCTTTCAGATGAGATGCTGGAGTCCTTCGACAACCACCCGCCCATCATCCTGCCCAGCGGAGGCTTCAAAGTGGACCTGGAGGTGGAGACGTTGGACGACAACATCTACCGTCATCTCCTTTACATCCGCCACTTCCTCTGGAGCCTGCAGAGCAAGAGCCCTCATGCCGGCGAGGGGCCAGGCTCAGCACCCCCGAAGGTAGCCTGTACCCCACGGAGGGGCTGGTTCTCCCCTGGGTGGGCAGGAGGGTCTCGGGTCCCTCTGGAGCCCCTCCAAGCCCATCGCCAAGGGCTCGCTGCCCTCGCCTGCGGCCCGGAGCTGCGGCGATGCCCTCACGTGGAGCTGCTGGAAGGATTAGTGCCGCTAATCCCCCAGCCTGGGGGGTGCGGGAAGGTGAGCTGGAAGGATGGGCTGCTCCCAGCAATCCCGTTAGTGGGGAGGAGGGAGGAGAAGGGGATGTCTAGAGGCAGCGTTCCCCTTCTCCCTGCGTGTCCCACCGTCCCCCCTGCCCTGCACCCTGCCTGTGCAGCCAGGCTGGCTTGCACAAAAGCACTAATTAGCTAATGCCTATAAAGCCCAGGGAGGGAGAGATGTGCTGCGGGTGCTAAGCTCAACTGCCATTCATCTCCAGCTCCCTGGGGAGGACATCCCTCCTCCAGCAGGTCCCCTTCTCCTCTCCTGCCCTGTCCTCATCGGCTGCAGCACCCACAGGCACCGCTACCTCCTCCCGTCACCCTGGGGCCATGTCACCCAGCCCTGGGGCCGCAGGAGGAGCCGTGCCCTCCCCGTGTCCCCCCTCCAATGACATCCTCCAGCAGGGATGTGATCAGCAGTCCCCTCCTGGCTGGCCATGAGTGTCCCCAGTACAGCCCTGGCTGCAAAACTGGGGTGCGGGAGCTGTGCTGGGAAGGCAGGACAAGCCCTGGGGGCGTCTGAATTGCCGCGGCTTCAGCTGGAGGTGGCAGCTGGTGGTGGGCTGCAGGTAGGGTGCAAAAAGGACCCGCGGGGGGGTCCCACAGAGCATGTTTCTCCTTCTTAAGGAGGCACGTGCAATGCCTGAAGTCCTGGAAGTGAGCGAGAACCCGGCTGCTGCCCTGGCGAGCATCATCGCCCAGGAGGACTACTGCTCCCTGGGGGGCTGCGCCGAGCCGGAGGCAGAGGGGGACCCCCTGCTCTGCTTGGCCACCAACGGCTGCCCCTGCGAGCACCCCGCCGGCGAGTCCCAGCTCCAGGAGAAGCTCAAGCAGCTGCAGCTGGGCAGGGGTCCGGCCCCCAAGATCAGCATGGTGCCCACAGACCCCTCCTGCCTGCTGACGCCACCCACCACCCCCCTGAACTTCGACTCCGGCAGCCCGGAGTCCCCGCAAGGCACCGGCAAGGGGCTGCAGGACCCCCGGATGAACGGCACCAAGAGCATCACCCCCGAAGGTACTGAAAGCTGGTGGTGCCCTGCTTTGGGGGTGCAGGATTGGGGCACGAGGGTGTTCGCTGCCGTTCTCCTGCGCAGCCCTCCCCACACACACGGTTCCTGCAGGGGACAGGGCGGGTGAGAGCAAACGGAGCATCTCATCCAGGTCCTGCCCCAGCAGAAAACCAGCTCTGGGGCAAGCCAGGTTCGGCTTTGATGGGATTTTGGGGGGCAGTTTTCTGTGGGAGGTTGTGAGGCTGGGTTTGGGCGATGCCAGAGCGGTAAGCTGGTCTCTCCGCTGCCAGGATCCTCGCCGACCCCCTACGACTACCCCACGCCAGAGTCTTCCAGCCGCAGCTCTGCCACTGATGACTTCTGCTATGTCTTCGTGGTGGAGCTGGAGAGAGGACCCATCGGGCTGGGGATGGGGCTGATTGATGGCTTGGTGAGTTCACACCGACTGCGGGACGGGGCTGATGCCCCTCCAAATAAGTGGAGGGGGACATGTGGGACGTGTTTTATACCCCAAGAAAAGCCAGCAAAGAAGCTAATGGCTTCCCACGGGAGGTAGGCTGCTTCTCCCGGGGAAAATGAGGCACAGAGTGATCTCTAGGGAGGAGCAGATCTCTGCTCCTGGGTTGTGTGCCGTGCACGCAGAGTCCATCACAGCTGTCCTGCAGCTGGAGAGAGCAAACAGGCTCAGAGCTCTTGTGGAAGGAAAATGACTCAGCCGAGGTCTTTCCTCCACCCTTCAGCGGTGGCGAGGGAAGCAGAGGGGAGCAGAGAGGCTCGCAGGGGGCCAGAACGGCTCCACCAGCAACAGCATTTGCTGCTCGCCCTGCAGTCTGGCTCGGTGCGATGGATTGCCTTATGAAGAGGCCTTTCATGGCAGTACATTAGTCAGTAGGAAACAGCGCATCCCCGAGCCCCGGGGACAGCGGTGAGCAAAGAGTTCCCATCCCAAGACGGCTGCAGGTTGACAACGCTTTACTCCTAATTAAACTCAACAAGAAAAGATTGCCCCCACCTCTCTTTTCTGTGTGTAAATTGATATAAAACTGAAGGTTTGCGTTTCCTTCCCGGTGCCGTTAGAGACACTGTCCCCAGCACCCAGCCATTGTGTTCCCCAGTGCCTCCTGGCATCAGGCACCCATGTGGCTGTGAGCTGCGGGGACGAGTCACCTGGCCCTTGGGGACTGCAAACCTTTCGTGTCTTTTTTGCCTTGGCTGGTCGCTCACCGCCTTCCCCTGCCAACAGCACACTCCTCTCTGCTCCCCGGGGATCTACATCCGCACCCTGATCGAGGACAGCCCCGCGGCCGCCGACGGCAGGCTCTCCATCGGGGACCGCATCCTGGCTGTCAATGGCACCAGTCTCATCGGGGCGGACTACCAAAGGTGAGTCGCACCTCGCCGCAGGGCCCGCTCTGGTATTGGCACTGTGGGAGTTAATGCTCAAGTTCAGGTTTTCAGCTGTTTTGTAGCTAAGAGCGGCTACAGGGTCTCCGAGCGCCGGGTGGTACGGGCCCGGCCGACAATGCAGAGGATGCTGCGGTACGGAAAAGCCACAGAGAGAGGAGTGACCTGCCCGGGATGCTGGAAAGGGGGGAAGGTGGTGGGGTTTGGAAGAGGGAGAAGGGAGCAAAAGCTGGAGAGGACACTTGGGAAATGCGCTCCTCTCAAAGGCGGTGGGATGGAGCAGCTCCCACCCTGCCTGGCTGTCCGAGGCAGAGCCCAGGTGCTGATGGGGCAGAGCAGCTCAGGGCTCGTTTGCCCTCGTCCTGGCAGCGCTTGCGTGAAGGCCAGGCTCCCCGGAAAGCTACGCGCAGAAGAGAACCAGACCCTGCTGGTAACACCAAGCAGGCACAGAGCAGAGGGTCAGGTGTTTTGCAAATGGGGTTGTTTTGGAAGTGTCTGTGTCCTGGCAAGGCTCTTGGGGCAGGGGGGAGAGCTGCCAGCCTGCGGGGAGCCAGCATTCACCGCTCTCCCTGTTGCCGCTCTCTGCAGTGCGGTGGACCTCATCCGCTCCGGAGGGAAGAAACTGCGGTTCCTTGTTGCCAAGTCGGACATGGAAATAGCCAAAAAAATCAGTTCCAGCTCCTCTTCCTCCTAGTCCTTGTGGTACAAGGGTCCTTCTGCAGCAGCCTGGGGATGCCGCTCTGGTTAAGGCTGACCTCGGGGAGCCTGGAGTGCAAGAGGAAGGACCAGGACTCCACGACTGCCCTCAATTTGCTTTTCGTCGCCTTGCCCCTGCGCTGCAGCGGAAGAAAGGACATGCAGGGGTGGTGCACGCTTCTCCCACTGCACTGGCCGGGAGCATCATTCCTGATCAATTGCCCGGCCTCATCTTATACCCCATATCGTCCTTCTGAGGAGCTTTGCTGTTCCTTCACCCCCTCTGGCAGGGGGCAGGAAGGGGGTGCTCGCCTCCGGGGGCTGTAGGCAGGCTCCTCCGTTCCTCTAGGCTGCGTGATCTTTCACGCTGGCAGGCAGGCGGCTTGAAACACCTTTGGGATTTAAAAATGAGCGTGTGGGGCAGGCTTGGGCTTCACCGTGGCGCTGGCGCATCATGCTGGAAAAGGGCACCCAGCTCTGGGGGTGGAAAAGGCAGCACAAGCACCCAGGAGTGGGATTCCGAGCAGGGTGCATTGCTAGGAGTGAAGTTCCCTGGTGCCAGACCCTAAGTCAGATGCCTTTCTGCTGCGGGGGTGCGAGCACGCTGCCCCCAGCCCTGCTCCGGGATGGGAAGCGGCTACAGCAAAGGGCTGACACCACCAGCAGTCCCCTGGGAGTCCTGGGGGGAGCCCCTTGAAGAAGAGGACTCTCTCGCCCTTGCTCACGCAGCAGAATCATTGCTCTGGCACCACGGTCCTGGCAGAAGGCCCCAAGGGCTGACCCAGCGGCGCGGGACATTGACAAGCGGAGAATTTCCCCACGCAGGAGCTTTGCCAGGTTGTCGCCCAGCTGCCCCGTTCCCTGCCCAGCTCAGAGCATCTCTCCAGTCCGTCCTGCTGACGTGCCGACGGGTGGTGACGGGCAGCAGAGGCTCCCTTTGGAAGGAAGGTCAGTCTTCAACGTCCCAGAAACAGCTCTGCCATCTGCTGCCAACAGCAGCGGCGTCCGCAGAGCTGAGCTGGCGGCTCCACCGTGCGGCTGTCCGCTCCCCTGCACACCCGGCCTCCTGCCTGCCAAGTCCTCCCTGCGCTTTTAGCAACGTTAACGGGATAAACCCGACCTGATTTCCACATATAGACAGATACCCGGACCTAGTTTAGCCGAACCCTATTAAAACAGCCTGCTGCAAAGCCCTACATCGCACCCTGCACTTAAACCAGCATGGACCAGGCTCCGGCAGCAAATCAGATGTTCACACGGCATCTCACAACAGCAGTGCTCTGAGGATTGTGATGCTAAAAAAGGGATGCTTAACAGGGTTGGCCTTAATTAAACCTCACACACTTCACTGCTGTAGTTTTGGTTTCTGTGCTTAAATCTTGCACTGTGCAGAAGGAGAGAGATGTCAGAATAATCCACGCAGGGGAAACGCTCCGCTACTGGATTTCAACGCAGCCTGGCTTGCCTTTTCTAGGGCAAGACAGACCTTCACCGAGACACTAGTGCCTTGCTTCTCTGCTAGGCCACGCTTGCGCCTGGGGTGCCGCCCCAGCGGGGACTGCGAACAACGCAGCATCCCTCCTGCCACTGACTCAGCTGTACCACGCAGGCCGGCAAAGGCTCAGGGCCCCACGGGGCTCCTGGTGATTCACTCCACTTTGAATCAAGTAGGTATGTCTATGCCTAAATCATCCTCCTGAATCATCCTCCGTGGAGCTGGGCAGGTTTGTAGGGCGGGAGATGGGCTGCTTAGAGCCCCTGGGCAAACTGCATGCACTCCTTACTCTGCCTGGGAGCCAGGGCTCGGGGGGAGGCTTGGTTTGCACTAGGCAGTGTTAGGGCTGCACCCTGGCAAGTTCCAGTGGTACCGACGCAATCCTCTGCTCCCCACCGCACCCGACTCTCCAGGCACCCCTGGAGATGGGAAACAGCCCCCGAGCTGTATGTTGCTCAAAGTGCAGTCAGGTATTGAAATAGACTGTAAATAAACCCGGCTATTTACTAGCGTGCATGAGGGCTTGCTTCTCCTGGGAGGAGCAGTGGGATGGATTTACTTCCCCCATTTGTTAATACTGTACAGCTCGAATGTGTATAAACTTCTTATGCAGATACAGAACACAGCATGGCGCCTGTTTGACACGGGGCTGATGTATGTTAAGAAATGCTCTTGGTGTCAAAAATAAACTGGATCAATAAATCTCTCTAAGCTCCCGTCTGGTAGCTGTCTCTTGGATCTCGACATGTTCGCTCTGATGGTAAGACAGAAGAGCACCGAGGGCTCACAGCAGACTTAATGGAGTCACTTCTGCTTTCTCCACCTCGCACAGGGCTTTGCTTGGCTGATGTGCTGCAAGCAGAGAGGCGATAAAAGCAGCACATGCATAGCCAGGGTGTAGGGAGGGTAAAGGGGAGGGAGAAGTACATCTCCAAAGAGGCACGGTGTGCTGGCAGGGCATTACTGCACACGCTCACCCTCCTGCCACATTCATGCAAATCCACTGGGATTTTCAATCCATACTGGCCGGGGAGAGATAAGACAAGCTTAGGAGATAGAAAAGAAACAGGCGCTAGGAGACAGAAATACAAACAGCCCCAGACCAGAAGAGCTGCCTCAGCTCTACTTATTCCTGTTTTCTGTTTCATTCACAATCATTTGTTCCTCATTTCCAGTTCAGAGAAGGGCCTGAGCCTTGAGCGTCAGCAGTGTCCGATGAGTTACAATAGAGGCTGGAGCCTCTCGGAAACCTCATGCCCTCACCCTGGCATGAAGCCAGGAGCCGGCTCGAGGAGCCGGGTGACTATCCTCAGGGCAAAAGGGAGGGAGTCATTCACCTCCCTCTGAAACCGCGTACTGGCCACGTCTACAGGTGGCGTGAACACAAACTGAGCCACGCTTGGCATTTTCAGTAGGTTCATGAGCTCAGTTGCCCGGATAAGGATCTCGTCAAGGTCCTCCTCACAGTAAACAGAGGTGACAGCAGGGCTCTGCACAAACGTCCTCATCTTGGACAGGAACATGGACACTCTGCAAGAGAGAAGGACATCAGTTGGTAGGACCCCTGCACCCAGCAAGATCACTAGTTAAGCCTGTGTACTCCAAAAGACTCTGTTGTAGGTGAACACCAGATGCTACCCACCCCCTCCTCCCGATGCACAGAGTGTCAGTCAGCAGATGAATCCCACATCCCCAAACTGTGCTCCTCCACAGCTTGCTTCCTCTGTCCTGTTTCAGTTTCAGGTTCCATGAGTTGCCAAGCTTGATTATTTAACACTAGCAAACACTTGTGTTTGGAACTATGAGATCTGCACATTTCAGCCCTTTGCCCTTCGCTGCCATCCCTCCTCACCTGGGGATCAAGTCCTGGCTGCGAGCTGCCAACTTGGTCAAGGTGGCCATAAGGACACTGATGGCACGGGGTGCGTAGCTGGGGGTACTGGCAAGTGGTCGGAGCTGGGTGATTTCAAATAACATGGCCTCAAGAGTCTCAAAGAACTGGTTGATCTGCTCCACAGTGCAGCGCTTGTCGTAGGACACAGACATGTACTCTCCAATAGCCCAGACCTGAAGCAAAGGCAGATGTGCTCAGGGCAAGCAGAAGGAAAGGGAATCAAATAATTTCAGGGAAAAGCAAATCAGATTAGCTAATGCTAGTACAGAGGAGACAAGGAAAGGGAAGATGACCAACAGATTGCACCGCAGTTGGAGCAACCTGTGGCAGAAGCAGGCAGGCCCTGCTTACCATGTGGGTGAAGATGGCCTCCTTGTTCTGAATGTTGCTGACTGTTCCTGAGAACTCCAGAATCTCTGTGGACAGTTCCACAACAAGCGCAGGGCGCAGCTTGCAGAGCATCACCAGCTGCGAGCCCAGGACCCTGGAGGAGAGGGATGGGCAGAGCTCAGACCACGGGCAAAGTGGTCATCACCAAAGTGAGGAGGTGCGACAGCACGCACCCACCGGCACAGTGGCTGTACACTCAGGATGTTTCCAGCAGGGCTGAAGGTGCAGTCCTCATTTTACACCCTCCAAAGATGTGTTGCAGCTGGGACTGGGCCACAACTGACAAGGCTCCTGGGCTGCCCTGGGCTGCCAGGCTGCAGCCAGCAGAAGGGCTGGGAGCTTAGCTGGGCCCCCTGTTCCATCTCACCTGTACACGTCATCTTTAAATGCTGGGATCTCATAAAGCTGGTCACTCCTCTGTAGCAGCAGCACCACCAGCTGGTTTATTAATGGCCCATCTGCAAACTGAAAAACAGCTTCAGCAACACCAGTGACTTCCAGCAGCCAAAACCCAAACTAACCAGCCAGATAAGACGGCTGGCACAGAAACAGCCTGATCTAGCACAAGAGAAGCAGTGCACAAAGCACGTATCAGGCACTCATTCTGCTTTCACCCACCTGCTTTACAGCCGGCTGAGAAAATATGTAGCCTGATACTGCACCATAGAGCTTTTAAGTTTCTCTGGGTGAAGTAGCCAGCTCAGCGCTGCTTCATGCCAGTATTAGACCATCCCACTCTCCCCTCATGCACTCCTCTGTTGAAGCTGCAGTGTCTTAACACTTTTGCTTCTACGACTACTTTCCACATAACAAGAGATCCCCATGGCATGACTAGGAGCCAAACTCCCCCAAGAGGGCCTACCTCTGCCACCACTCTGAAAAAGAGCTCCAGTAAGACAGGGACAGTCTCTGCACATTGCACGACCCTTGGGCTGCTGGCCAGAGATCCCAGCAGCTGCCGAAGTGGAATCAGCCTGCAGGCAACAGAAAAGATACTGTTGAAGGCTTGTTCCCAGCTACTGTCCTGGCTGCCCTTCCCCGTCCCCCCACAAGGCGTTTGAATGCTTGGCAAAGCTAACACAGGGAAGATCAAATCCACCTCACCCCAGCTACGCCTATCCCAGCAATCCCAGTGCTGCCTCCCAGAGCTGGATGGCTGAACCAAACCGTTGCGGCAGTCTCCTACCTCTCTGGGGCATCCTCGGGAGCAGACTTGGTG